TATATATACCAACACTATTTTCACATAAATCACCAATCATCGTCTCTTTGATACTCACGATCTCGATTCGTCTTGATCTCGATAACGAGTCTCCACGAGGAGAGATAGTTGGAAATTCTGTTCAAAGTTTCATTTATTAAATTTTGCCAAGGAGAGAGAAAAAAAAAAAAAAAAAAAAAAGATGGCACACCCCAGGTTGGATCACGCAGAAGCACGTGGATCGATTGGACCGATCGAGCAGCTCGCGAACGTAGAGAAAGCGAAAGACTGAATGTTCGAACATCACGTTCCACGTATAAACCGTACGGTAGTACCACCACTTTGATCGACAAGAAACGGGTCGTATTCGCGTGTTGACCTTTAGGGTTGAGTTCTTCATCTCTTTCGTCACGTTCGTTCTTTTTTTCTGCTCGTATTTTTCTATCGATCGATCATCGATCGTTCGTCCCTTGCATCTTCGCCATCTTCTCCGGGGAAACCCGTGGTTGTAAAAAAAATTTTCCTCCTTTTTCTCATCAAAGGCCTGATATTATTCTGTATCATAAAGATATGATGATTTCAATTTTTATATGCTATTTTTTTTTTTTATGATCGAATAAGAAATAAAATTTATCGTTGATTCAATCATCGATTTGCTATCGATTTTTAATAATGATTCAATTAACGACTTTTCTAATAAAATTAGTTGTATTGTTACATACAATAGAATGTAACTTACGTGAGTAGATGAGTAATCTGTGATGCTCAAGGATCACTCAAAGTATATATTGTTCCACCTTATGTATCACGTTGTTGAAATACGATCCAATATTTGTAATTTATGTATCATCATTCGAGATATTACGTTCTGGTAATTTAGGGAAAAGGCATCGATTTCTTTCTTGTAGAAATAACGTGGTAATTTCACGGTATGACAATGAAAAATGAATACAAATAAATTTTGAGTAAGCAATAATGGAGAGCAAATTATTTTTGAAACAATTTTTATTTCCAAAATATGTATGTGGAAAATTTTATTCCGGGAATAATAATAGAATTTTAATTATTGATAAGATTTTCAATAAATTTATGATTCGTATTTCGTTTCATTAAAAAAAAAAAAAGTGACTTGGGATAATTGATTCTTAGTACATCTTCTTCGTAAATGAGGCTCGTCTTATTCAGATGAAATAAACGCATCGAAATATTTTTTAATATTTCGTAATAAATGACGAATATATATATACACACACATATTAAGATTGTTCCATTAAGATGTTCAAGGATACCTGATCTTGATTTCACAGTTGACCGAAATTTTGTGGTAATCATAATGTCCGTATGGTTTATTCATGAATTATTCACATAGTACGATTTCATTTCAATATACTGGAAATAAAAAAACTATTAAATTAAAAGGAATAATTTAAAATAATTTTAATTAATGAAGATTTATTTTATTTGGATATAAAATATTGAAAATATTTATTTAAAATATAAAATATTTGCAATTATTAGAATTTTTTTTAATAATTCTGTGAAATATAATCGTGCATTAATTATCTATATTTATAAAAAATTGTTCTATATTAAACTGAAAAAATGAATGGTGAGATTGGAAAAATCAATCTGCAAGATTGAGGACATATCATCTTAAGATCATTAATCACAGAAATAAAAGACTTTTTTAAGACATGTCCCTCAACAACAAAAAAACAAATTTAAAAAATAATCAGAAGATCTTTACAGATTAAAATTAAACCGGAAAATCAACCTCAAAGAATCCTATATCCAATCTACTTTTGACCAAGTAGTCTCATTTCATTCACTTTCACTTTCATTAATTTTTCACTGGCCACAGACAAATTTTCCTCTTCTTTCTCTCTTTCTTTCTCTTTATTTTAATATCCCTTACTCCTCTTGATCGTATATCGATATATTTTACGTTATATTTCGAATAGAAACATTTCACTTTCCCCCAGATGATTTTGAAATCGCCTCAGTCAAGCGTTTTCATTCCAGTTCCATGATATGGTGTCTGAATGCTATCGTGTGCTAGAAAAAAAAAAAAAAAAATTGGGAAAGACCCTTCTAGTGAAAGTTCTTCTTGTCCGTATGTCGTTACATTTACGAACAACCGTGAACATGTAATTTGTTTCCTCGAAAAGACGAGATCGGATGACAAAGAGTTGCTTCGTGCATAGAAAATTAATATATTCATGGAAAATCTTTTGAGAGTGGATTTTCTGCAGGCGAAAATAATCTGCAGAAAATATATATACATAACTTCTTCGTCTATAATCTATAAGCGATTTAAATTTGCATTAGACGAAGAGTGACGAAGAGTGACAGATTTTCTCGAATTTCTCGTGAATGAATAAACAAGTATCGATCGATATATCAAATTTTCTTTAAACCAGTAAAATTGATCTTCTAAGAGTATAAATATGTCAACATTTTATATATTTTAGGAACAAAATTATTATAATTATATGCAACAATCTATATAATGATAAATTGAATGAAAAATTTGTGTCACTTCAGCGATGAGTTTAAATTTAAATTTTAAATTAACTAATGGAGATTTAAAATTGAAAATCGTAATGATACTTTTGAATTCAAAATGTCGAAATTCACGAGATTTATTTTATGTTTTATTGTAATGATAATTGCAATGGATCTTTACATTTCTTATAATGTTAATGATTTCTAGAACATTACCTTTTTTGATGCTCTCATTACGTAAAGGCTATGAATGGATAAAACATGTTTTAAAAGTCCTTGGATGGAATAAAAAAAAAGTCATGATCCAAATAATTATTTATTTCATTTAGTTTCTGATAAAGTTTCAATTTTGTTTTTTATTATTTTCTTTTTTTTTTTTTTT